ACTGAACAACTAGTAGCAAACATCGACAAACCGAGACACCAAATCATCCAGACGTAGAGTCTACCTAGAAGACATGGAAACCGGGCACCATTCCTACTGCAAAAGATCGTGTTTTTATTTTTATGAGGCATGAGCGAGTGTCTAGTTGCTTGCGGCGAGAGCCTTCTTCGTCTCGGTCTTCAAGTCCAGTTCTTGTAGTCCCAGAAGTGTAACGGCGGCGTTCTCCTTTACGGCATGCCCTTGACCATCTCCAAATACGTATTGTTGAAGTAGTTGGATGAAAGCACTGTAGTCTCCCTTCGCAAGTTTCTCATCGGCGATCTTCTCCAGGTCAGAGGTCTTGACGTTGCTGACCGTAAAAGTGGAGCCGGTTTCCTGCTCGACAACCTTCAGGAGCTCACGTTGAGTAGTCGTGAAAGAAGCGACGGTAATGTACTTGTTAGCGGTCGCTTGGGGGTTCTTAAGCACGCCGGCAACGGACTGTCCAATAAACGCAAGGGAAGAGGCAGAAAATGGCTCGTTACCAGAGTCGAAGATGGTGACGGCCTTGTTCTTGACATCGAGACCCAACAAGCCCTTGTCGAAACCCTGTTACACGTCAGAAATGCATTTCTTAACTGAAAAGCAACCTCATTATGATGTGACCTACCCAATCAAAGAATGGACCGACGGCGATGCCCGTCCAGCTAAACCAATTATGCTTCTTAGACAGCTCGATCAGGTAATTGGTGTTGTCGACCTTGGACTTCAAAATCGCACCGATCTTGGTCCCTTGGGCATCACGAGTGTGAATTCCGAACTCTGATGGGATGAATCGCTTGACTTGTGCAGCAACAGCGGCATCAATCAGGGCCTTCTGCGCGCCAACCGCTGCCGTCGCAGCAGTAGAGACCACGGCGTCCTGTCCCTTCAGGGCTTCCGTAACAGATTCAACCGAAGATAGATCGACTTTCTTGACAGCAACTCCAGAGGGAAACGTGGCACTGGATTCTTTCCTGCTGATGGCAGTGACTTCAAAACCGCCTTCGACAAGTCCAGCAAGCACCTCTGGGCCAAGGTTTCCGGAGGCCTACAGGGATCAGAACGTTTGGTTGTAAAGTGGATTTAAGGCGTAACTTACCCCGATGATAGCGACTTTCTTAATGGCAGACATGGTGATATTTAGATGAGGAGATATTTCGGTATTCGGGTGAGAGAAACTCAATTTTCATATGTTATTTCCGCTGTTGTTGATTCATTGAACGTCTAGAGGGATGCAGCTCCTTATATGCCTTCAAGCCGCACTGACGACGAAGGGCCTCACCCCGCCTTCGTCACATCATCGCGCAATAATCGGAGATCTCGCATGATTAGCCAGCACTACAGCACGCGATACCCACTGCCGATTACCATCACTACATTATCAATCCGTAATCTTCCGCGAGTAGCTGGGTTCACGGCGAACGGAATCTGTTGCCAGGCCGAAGTTTAAGTTTCCAAGCCCCCACCATTCCGCCGGGACCTAATTGCCTCCGCTAGCCGATTTACTTCCGACTTTACTCATCGATCACCAATATGTTATGAGTAAATGCCAAAGGTGAAAAGGCCACGGTTGTCCATAGGGACATAGAAGCATGGTCTGGTAAGGTTTAGACTTTTCGTACTGCATGAGGTCTCGGTTTCTAACTCGGCATACAGTTGACTTCAATCGGATTGCCGTTATTACTTATATGGTTTTTTCGCTGCATTAGCATGCTGCACCCAGGATTTTGACCGTAGAAGGCGAGTTGACATTTCTTACAGAATGCAAGGCAGCCAGCATAATGGGAGCCAGGTCTGTCATCGATCCAATGTGCGTAGCAGCCCGGTACGAGGCTTTGAGCCGGTGACCCTTGTGTATCTTCCGAAGCAACAGAGCACTCAGAGGGGTGGGGGTTTTAGGTCAGTATTCACCAATGTTGAGATATGATTCTTTAGTTAGAATGTTATTGAAGCTTAAGCTGAACGCAAAGATACATCACCTGCACTCCATTACATCCAAAACAACTGCAAAGATACCCAAGGCTACTAGGAAACTTCGTTCGTCTTTGCTCAGCTGACGATGGCACACCCCACGTTCATCGGATCAATGCGATAATCGGCAAACGTAAACACCCAGGCTCTTGACATATTACGCTTGCGAACGTCTCCAGGCGGCAAACTGCGAAGAAAAAAGTTAGAAGGGAAGAAAGACGCTTGCGAACGTTGGAGTATGTTCGACTGACATTTAAGAAGTTTTTGTCTTTGCGGGGCAAGGAAGGGACATGGTTTCACTAGCCGCAGGCAACTTCAATTCGAGAAACCTCAGCCACTGGAATAGCGGCGATCTTCCATAATTCAACCCTACAGACAGTACAGCCTGAAACAGATCTGATTTTCGTTAGACTACACCAGTTCAAAATTCAACAATCACCATCAATGTCGATGTTCCTCCGCATGGCCCATGCGCTGCCGTCATTATGAGCCATCGTGACTCACTGACCTCCGCCAATCAGAGCGATCATTCCCTTCGCGAAAACCACGTCTTCAGCTAAACGGAAAACTGTTGGCATCTCCAACTCCTCACAAGCCCCTATCCACGCCTCTGTTCTGAGGTTTTCGAATACGGTAGCCCGATCTGGCCGTTACCGGCTCCCTTTATCAATCCCACTCAATACCTCTTAGCCAGCCTCTCCATCAACAGGGAGAGGCCCTCAATCCTGAGTTCATGGAGACGCAAATATCCACCGTCGTACGCTTCGAGCCTCGATACCGCCTGGAACCCGTCCGGCCACAACAGCCCAAGGAACCTGAACCCCCTTGGCCAAGGCACATGGTGGCCGACTGTCGACAACCTAGAACCAATGTTTGGATGGTCGCAGGACTCTTCAAATTCCACGGGTGAAGCACTGCCTTACACCGACAACATTCCTCTTGATCCTCGCCTCGATTCGGAGGACTTGCAGTCAAGCTTGGAGTCGGCTGATAACGCAGCAAATGGTGGGATCGGCGATGCTAAAGAGGATAGCCTTCTGGGGTTACTGAATGCGATCAACTGTTCTGCAGCAGAGCAAACCCAGGGTGAGTATTCCATCAGCCTAAACATCGCTTTTGTCCAAATTACATGCTGACAAGTGAACTACAGATTCATCTATCCGCGTCGACGACTCACGGTACATCGAGTGCCCTGAGCCACATGACTATCAACACGACCCCCTAGAGAGATTAGACAGAGGAGTTGATCATCCTCTGGTTTGTGATCACCACTTATCAGTTCTTCCGGAACTGCGCGATCCGGCGCCTAAAGTCACGGATCCGTCACCCTTTGCTGGGCCGGAATCGAAGCGAAAGGCCAATTCTACAGACAACAATCAAGGAGACACAGCCAGTAATGAAGACATGGCCGCGACCAAAAGACAACGAAACACCATGGCAGCTCGAAAATACCGTCAAAAGGGCAGAGACCGAATCGCCGAGCTGGAGGCTGCTTTGAAGAATGTCGAGGAGGAGCGGGATCAGTTGAGACTCAAGCTTGTGAGGAGAGAGGCTGAAGTAGATGCTTTAAGAGAAATGTTGGCTAGATGATAGTCTGCATAGGTTTTAGACCGCAACACATTATACGGTCGCTGGATTCGTTTTCTAAGCCGACAATTCTAGCGACGCGGGCGTAGTGCGTGCTGGATGTACCGACTTGTCACGTTATACTGTGCAAATCGACCTTCTTTGTACTTTTCGTGCTTCCCTTCCTTCATATCATCAGCCCAATTGCTATCGGCTTCTTTGGTAACATCCTGTATTGCGACTAAGGGACAAGAGCTGAAGAGTCTATCTCAATGGTGGGAACTATCATCCCGTGCTCGAGGTTTTCCTCCCGCTCATACTCAGGGTCCGAATGCTCGTTGTATGTTTCAACTCCAGAAAGCCTGATTGTTACTTCGGCAGTAGTATTACCACTGGGGTTCGGTGTGACTCGTACTCCAACCTCACCCCACGGAAAGACACGAAGTGCGCTCGGCCTTTGCAAAATCTCATCCCGCGGGCATTGTTGACCTTCCAATATGCCTTCGATAGTCTCTGGGCCATCTGACGTCACCGGAACTAGCACGTCGCAGTGCCACGATTCTGCGGTGTTGGCAGTATCAAGCCGCTGATTCCCGAGGAGAATAACAAAGTCGGACTTGCGCGCCCCCTTCCCCGATAAGTCAACCAATACAAAGAAGGCCCATAATGGATCAAAAGCTCGAAACGCGGCCAATCCTGCGACAGATTCCGTAATTCCAATATTGTAGGCGTTCCCAAATCGTTCTAGCATGAGACGTGGGCAGGTATCTGCAATTCTTGCGGTAGCAGAATTCCTCTTGCTGAATGAAATCTCTGGACCCCCATTTGCAATCGGACGCTGTACGGTGTCCGTTTTTTTCCAATATCGGTTGGCGGGTATTGGTACTGCGCGAAGATACAGTGTCATGGGTTTGAATTTCCTCAACATGGCTCGCGGAACCAGATAAAGGACGTCCGATGATTTTCTGGCAGCTTTGATGTCTGCTCCGATCGAATTGCCTTCTTCCTTTAAGCCGATGCAAACTCCATAGGCTTCTCCATCAAGGTGAATACTTGAGAGAGTCCATGCAAGACACTCGTTCTGGATTGAATTCCCCCCTCCATCAAGAAGAATCCTTGAAATATTCCATGCGTGCCATCCGCATTGGACCGTTTCATCTCCTGACGAGGCATTCACAAACAGCGTAATATGGATGCCGCGAGGAGACATCATAGGTGGCTCCAACACAATCCCCTCCCGACGTTGTTTGCGTAGAATGAAATGTTCGGTATCCATAATGATGTTATCAAGCGCTAGCTCTGGCCCTGCGCTGGTGTGACGCTGAGGTGCGACAAGCAACTTCTTTTCGTCTTTTCCCAGTACTTCGTATCTGTGATTGATATAGATATCCCCAAAATCGCTCGGATCCTTTGCGAAGGCCGGCCCGTCTTCCGAGTCTGATTTATTCTCATGTTTAGATGCCCATGTTAGTAAGCTGTAGTCTTCAGTCACTTTCAGTATCTCCTCCTGGAGACGTCTGAAAGCGTTGTAGCCCTCTCCGTATAAGAGCGGCATGTTGATGTCGAACAGCCCCAAGAGACAGTATGCGAGGTCTTCGACACGAGTTGTTTCTCGCCCAGAAGCCCACTGCATCTTTGTTCTAGCGGGAAATCCCTGAAACGACTCACTTTGGAGCGCAAGTCTCGTGATTCCAGTGCTTTTTTCGATCAATTCGGCAAGTTCCTCTTTCGTTCCAATGCACGACCAGTCGGTTGCAAAAAAGACAATGTTGCGGGGTGCGAGAAGTTCCTGCAGGGTCCAGCCCCTCGAAAACCACCGGCTTCCTGTAAACATTGTCTTCTCCTTGTCGAAAACACTCGCCATCTCCTGGTTGGAGTTTCTCAGGTTCTCGTGGGCCAAAAATATCGCGTATTTAAGATGAGGTACGTCGATCAGATATGCGTAGCAGATGACTGCTTCTTGATACCACTGAAACATCGAATTGATTGCTTCCGAGAGCTCCGCACTGGATGTCTTGTCGATGCAACACGTATGGATCCATACCCAGTCGAAGTCATCATTGCGGGCTATCGCGCAGCATCCCTTGACTTTCTTGTACCCAGATTTGTCTTCTAGAAGTGATCTTTCGCCCTGCAGGTCAGCGAAAGCGACCTCTTCTGAACCCCAAGTATGGGACAGGATTGCATAGGGGGGCTTCTTGTCGAAGAATTCTTCGAGCATCAGCGTTGCCGTGTTCAAAAGCCGCATGGCATGTGTATGAGTAGTTTGCGCAGCAAATAAATGAAAATCAGCTATGGCGATCGTCTCTGCTTGGTGACGAAGGGAACATTGAGCGGGCAAAACAAGCTGAGGGGCCGAAGGTAAACGTGGCATGATATTTCTACACGTGATTCATACTCGCTGATAAGCTTGCCCATCATGGTATTAGCTGCATAAGACTTTTCCTCATTGGCCCACTACCGTGAGCCGAGCTTGCGGTTGCATCAGGCGCTACATGTGGTCATCCTTCGTTATATTCCGTTTTCACTTCTACATCCGCATCCACCATACACTCGGTCTCGATGAATTGCCCTAACATCCTCTCAAGGGGCCTCCGTGGGGTCCCTGTCGCAGTCAGTCCTGCTTCTAACAAATTATAAAGTGCAGCAATCCATCATTATGACTTACCAGTCAGTCACAAGTCTCTCATCAAGACCATCCAGCACGGCCAGATCTTCCTTGGAAATCTCAAAGTTTCCAACGTCAGCGTTCTCAATAAGACGCTCTTGGCGGACACTCTTCGGAAGAGTGATCATTTCATGCTGAAGAGACCAGCTGCAAGTAAACTTATCAGTATGCAACACAGAGACAAAGTGATCCAAGCAATGTTGCTTACCGCACAAACAGCTGAGCTGGGCTGCAGCCGTACTTCTGAGCCAGCTCCAAGATCTTGGGGTGCTTCATGCGCATTCCACGGGCCAAGGGCGCGTACGCCTCAATGGCAATGTTGTGCTTGGCACAAGTTTCTCTAATCTTAGTCTGGGTGTTGAAGGGGTGAACCTCGATCTGGTTGATGACCGGGGCAATACTGGGCTTGGAGGCCATGAGCTCCTCAATCTGCGGTACTGTCAATCTGATGTTCCTGGAGATCTTGTTTCACGTGTGAAAATGAGTGCAAGACTCACGTGGGCAGAACCGTAGTTGCTGACACCTCCCATCTTCACCTCGCCCTCGGTGATTGCATCCTCCAGGGCCTTCCAGCTGGTCAAGCGTGCCTCCTTGCCGCCGTAGGGGCTGTGGAGGAGGAAAAGATCGACGTAGCCGAGACCGGAAACCTTCACGGACTCCGTGATAGACTTGCGGACCTCATCATAAGAAGTGCTGCAGCTAGCGAGCTTGGTCGTGTAGAAAACATCCTCGCGCTTCAAGCCTTGAGCGTTCTCGCTGCTGGACAGGTAGTCGCTGATCGCCTTGCCAGACTCGCGCTCATTGCGGTACATCTGCGCACAGTCGAAACCGCGGTAGCCGGCGTTCAGAGCCCAAGGAATGGTCTTGGTGGCTTCCTTGCCGGACATGCAGTACAGACCCAGCTGGATCTGAGGGATGGTCTTGCCACTGGCCAGCTATCTGCGGTCAATCATCGTGATTACATGTACTGAGGGATTGAGGATGGGACTCACAGTAAGCCTGGCAGCCAGGTTGTACTTTGCCGTCGCCATTGTCAAACTATTTGTTGGCTGAAAATCACAAACTCCCGTCCTGAGCGTGGTTTGGAAAGAATTTTGGGAGAGCTCGGAGTTGGAGAAGTACGCGGAAAAGAGGTCGCCCGATGTTGCGGGCTGACCCGCCGTGACATCACGCTGGAATGAGGGGCGGTGGTGGGGCCTCGCCCGCCCCCGGTTTCGGTCTCCGAAGAATCATGCCATGAAATCTCCGATGGAGCCCGGCGGAACACTCTACTCGGACGACATCGCCGACAAACGCGGATTTCGTACGTGTTCATTGTCAAGAGACATACGGTGTGAGCTATTTACGAAGCAGTTTCCCCCCACCTTCCGCTCTTAACATCTCGTCACTAGTTCGCGGGCCTTATTCTGAACACCGGACCTGCCCGGCAATCTTCGATGATGGCCGGCACTCTGTCAACGACGGCACACAAGATCGAGATGTCAAGATGCATGGTCTAGTGTCCAACCATGGACTCGAAGATAGGGGCGAATCTCGCACCGACCGGCTTCGCCTCATCAACGATGCGACGCATCTCCTTCAGTTCGTCCTCAGTAAGGACAACCTTGCGCGAATCCCAGTTCTCATCCAAGCGAGAGGCCTTGGTCGTGCCGGGGATGGCGATGAGACCTTGGGCGGCGACCCAGGCCAGTGCAATCTGAGCCACCTTACATCCCTTGATCGTGGCCAGCTTCTTGATCTCGTCGACAATGGCCTTATTGCGGTAGAAGTTGTCGCCCTGGAACTTGGGCACTGCGGCATTCGAACAAGTAGTGTTAGTAGACAGACGCATTAACTAGCTGCGTTTTGAGGGCGCTTACCGGTGCGTCGGAAATCTGTTGGGCCAAAGTCGTCGGGAGACTTAAAAGGGAAGTCATCAACAAGCCAGCCGTGTCCGAGGGGGCTGAATGCCACAAAAGCAACGCCAAGCTCCTTAGCAGTCTCGATGAGGCCGTTTGTCTCATGGATAGTCTCGAAAGCCGAGTACTCAGCTTGGATGGCATCGATCTTTGCAACTGCAAAAAGCAAAACCTGGTTTAGCGCTGTCCCGTATTATTCTGGTGAGCAAACGTACTCGCATTCGCTTTGCGCAAAGTCACGGCAGAGCACTCAGACAGGCCGATATACTTCGTTTTGCCGGCACGACGGAGCTCATCCAGTGCGCTGATGGACTCTTCGAGCGGGGTGTCTGGATGGGAGTGTAAGTGATCACGCCATTAACGGCCTGTGAAGACGGGTTCAAGATGGAAACGGGACGTACTCGGGTCGATCCTGTGCAGGTAGTACAGATCAGGGGTGAAGCCGAGCCTGTCGATTGTACCCTCAATATACTCCTTGATGTGGGATGCCGAATTCGTCACCGTGCGTTGCGGGCCAAAGACGTCGAATCCGCACTTGGATGCGACTACGCACCATCAGCAGTAGTTAGTCCAGTCGTTCGGGTGCAAGCGTATATGCAATAATGAGACGCACCAAAGAGTTTGTCGCGCACATTGTGCTTCTTGACAAAGTCACCGAGAAGCTGTTCGTTGGCGCCGTTCTTGTATGCGACCTGGGGCGCTTGTCAGATGATTGATTGTTTCCCATCACGTCGACTTGACGACGGTGAATGACCTACGGCAGTATCCCAGAATGTGCAACCGCGCTCGACGGCCTTGAGCAGGACTGGCTCAGCCTGGTCGTAGCTGAGATCGCTTCCCATGGCAGAGCTCAAGCCCATGGCCCCAAAACCGGGGACCTGCACTTGAATGTCACTGAAGGGCAGAGTGGTAGTAGACATGGTTGAGATACTCTGTGATACGTTAGCCAGCATACTGCCAATTTGTAGGGACATGAGCTTTATGTGTGCGTACATGACGATGTGACAGGGTTGTCCGATATTGATGGATGCAGAACGGGCGAACATGGAATATGTTGCTGTTGATCACAGTTGCGAATGGGCTTTGCATTTATCATATCGGTGGACTTGACGGGCAGGCCGAGACCCTACAGAACCATACCGAGTCCGAGTGACGTGGGTCCGGCTTCCACTACCTTAAGTCCGCTCGCTGACAACCCGGAAGATGCACGGACTGGCGTGCGGGCGAATTAATGGGGCATCACGGCATATCCCATCCCCTCCTCGTGAATCGCGTACCTACCACATCCCAAGATCCGTATTGACGTAGCAATTCCGCCGAGCTCATGCCCGGTCAACTACCGATGAGTGCGGGAAGGAGAATGAAGAATTCTTGCGATAATTAATACAGTAGTACATGCATATGGGATGCACACGACACCACGAGCAAGGGTCGAGCGACAAACAATGCCAAGTGGTGATATCACCTTACTACGAACGACATCGTAGGCTTGCTATGACTTTTATGACTTAATTATGTGGCATATCTCACAATTCTGATTATTCTTGACTAAGTCTCCCAGTTCTCCAGATAAGACAAATGTATTTGAAGAGTCCGTGTCGAAGTGACTGATAACCCAAAGCAATATGACATGGACCCTTTAGCGACCCTTTAGCGGACCTTGAAAAATCCAGTCCAGAGACCGGAGGAGGCGAAGACACCCTTGGGGTCCACTGCCTTCGAGATCTCCACCAAACGGTCCCGGTTGTTCTGCCCATATCCGCCAAAAACATCTTGACCCTTGTTGGCGTAGTTGATGTAAATGAAGGGGTGGAACACGTCGAGCTTCTCTGCCGCCGCCCGGAAGTCGGTGATAAAGGTCTCCGCAAGCGCGCTTGCTGCATTGTCCAATGTTCTGTCGGTCCAGCTCAGAGCGAAAAGGTTGACTGGACGTCTATGGTTAGACACCGTTGATTGCGCAGACGCTTGCTTGAGAACAATGGTAGAAGGTGAGGGAGAGTGGTATTGACGTACTTATGAGATGTCCCGAGACATCTTCCAGACCGAGAGCGTTGCCGCCTCTAGCCTTTGAGTTCCTCATCATCGCCGCAGGGATAGAGTACGTGATGAGCTGGGGGTTGAGGCTGGTTAAGTTTCTGGTCTCGGTGAGGTTCTTCATGATAGCAAGGCCTTGCCGGCTCAACTCCAAAGACGGGTAGTGGGTCAAAGAGGTGAAGAGGTTCCTAGACATGTCAGTTAAACTGGACCGAAGAACATAACCTAATGAATGAAGTACCTTGTAACTCCCAGCTGGCCGACAGCGCTGGTGCTGCTCGCCAGGGTGTTGATGCCCCCCGTGAGGTTGCCCACGGCCGGGATGCTGTTGAGGGCGTTGAATACGGGGGGATTCATGACGGGCTCTGCATATCGCTGCGTGGTCGATACAGTCCAGCCGTTCTGGGGGGAGAAAGTGTAGCGGTATTCAAGTCCGACATTGGTATCTTGCTCGTCTTCAACCGTGAAGATCTTTTCGACCTCCTCCAACAGCGGGACGATCTGGCTTTCGGGAAAGGTGCGCGCTCCAGTGTACACGGGACCCTTCTCGTAGACGTCGACAATGAACGACGTGACGATGCCGAAATTGTTGCCTCCACCTCGCAGCGCGAAGTACAAGTCGGGGTGGGAGCTTTCTGACACCTTTGC